CTGCTTTTCCCCCGCCCCCCCCCCCTCCCCCCCCTCCCCCTCCACCTCCACCTCCACCGCCTCCCCCTCCCCCTCCTCCTCCTCTATAGCGTCCACCATAACTGTTTTTGTTGTAGTTGACAACAGCTTCAGTATTAGAAGTTTTGTTTTGACTTCCTAGTAGCTTGGCAGGATCTAAAAAAGTGACATTGACTTTCGTATGATCAGCAATGCTGTTCGTTCCCTCGTCTCCCCTCAACTCAACAGCTACCATTGCTAGAAACAAGAGAACAAATAAGCTTCTCCTTCTCGTCCGTATCTCCATCTTTAATTTTTTTAGTGCCTTCTTTCAAATTGATTTCCAATTATTTTGCATTTTCACGCCATCGCTCCATGGGTTTATATAGCACTTCTTTGACAGTTTGACAGCTAGATTTTGGACCCCACTTGATCCAGATCTCTAACCAATTAAGTGAAGCAAATCCACCTCCAAACTATCAAGCTAGTTCTGGTCGTCCAAAGAAAAAAAAGACAGTGCCTTAAGGCTCACTTTTGTCCCCACCTAGTTCGCAAGGAATAAGATAAACTAAAATCTGCACTCTGCGTGCAGCAAACGCGCCCACCCTTGTCCGCTACGAGGGCATGCGTTACTGTAGTCGTTAAGATATATAGCTGTACATAGCGTGCATGTTCTTGGTCTTTGATTGGGTGTAAACTCAAGTAAATAAAGAGTGAAAATGACTATAAAAAATTCTAATCATTTGATTATTTTTTTACAAAAAGAAGGATACTGATTGCTTGATTAGACCAAACCCACGGTACTAATTTGTCTCACGATACCCAATAGTGCTTTAATTAGCATGCACCGTGCTTCTGTCTATTGCTTGACAATAACGTTTGAGAATTGAAGTGTGTGAATGAAGTTGCAGTCCATAGAGAGCTAGTGGTGGAGGTAGCTTGTTACTTGTGTACAAGGTTCCTTGCGAAGGTATACAAATTGATTGATTTCAGTGTGTTGGTACCATCATATGCTTCTATTCTAGGTGGAAAATATTTTTTTAATGAATTGATTGTTAGGATTCAGGCTCAAGTTTTCTTGCAAGCACCCTCTAGTTAATTTATTTCATATTGGGTTGTTAAATTTCATATACCGGTGAAGAAGAGTCTTAAATTGATCATGCATGCTGAAAACAGGTTGAGCTACTGTTCAAATTAATGATGACGTTGATGACTGAAAAAACAAGGCAGTAAGTAGAGACATAAAAGTATCGTCTCCGTTGTTATTGAAAGCTAGAACAGAAAAGCCCCATGCATAGATGCCGTTTAACACCTACTTTTCTGAAAGAAAATAAACACTCTGTTTCCTACAAGATATGGATAAAATAAACACATAGCAAATTCCCAGTCAGATTTATGAGTATTTGTTTTGAAGTTCTAATCTGCCTTTTAAATTGATTTACACTACAAGATAATGAATTTTTAGATGGAGAGCTTGCATTAACATGCCATTTTTGTTACCATAGACTTTTATCCTCCAGATCAAAGCAAGAGCAGAAAAATTAAGGAATGCATTGTGGAATATAGCATAGCAATTCTGCTGTTTTCAGACTGAAAAGGAAGATTCAAATAGAATAGAAAAAATCCTCTCATAAAATTTGCTACAAAGTGAAACAATCTTCCTGTTGTTCAAATTATGTAGATTGCATGTGAGAAACCATACAACTCATCACTGTCATATGTTTTTGCTCCTTGCCTCTCAAAATCAAACACGGATCGATTTATGGAGTATCAGTACCTTCGGAAGGCTATTCTTCCTGATGGGCACTCGATTGCCCTGTGGCCCCTCCCCCCGCAATTGTGGCAGATAATCATGGGACCTATACAATCCCTGCTCATGTGGCCCACCTGATTGCATGTACGGCATATCACATCCCGATAACTGCTATTACGACCCCAGCCTCCTCTATCTGGAAAACTATTTCCCCTTGTGCATTGCCTTGCTACATGCCCAGAAATGTTGCACAAGTTGCAGACAGGCTCATTCTGACAATCACGTGCCATATGGCCAGTTTTCCTGCAGTTCTTACATGCTTTATCATTTGTGCAGTCAGCTGCAAAATGCCCTGGCTTATAGCAATTGTTGCACAACCTCACATCTCCAGGTGAAGGCTCAGGATTTGGGCAATCTTTGGCACGATGTCCAGACCTGCCACATGCGTGGCAGATGCCCTCATTCGGACAGTTGCTTGCTACATGCCCAGGTTCCCGGCAATTCCAACACTGCAGCTGTGTGCTGCACTCAGAAGCAACATGCCTGAAAAAAAAATGAAAGATGCAGAGCTGAAATGCTTATCCAATGTATAAGAACACGGGAACAGAAAGCGCAGAAAAATGAAGGCAGGAAGAATTATTACCCAGGAAGACCACAGTTGTTACAAACAGCAGCATTGGGGCATTCTCTTGCAAAATGACCAGCCCGCTTGCAATTATGGCACAAATTGGTTTGGCTGAAGACAACCAACAAAAATTAGAAATATAAAATTACCTAAACCTAAAGCGCATGCATCTAACTAACCTCAAAAGACACCCATCACTGTCATTCACATCCATTATAGTTATTGTTTCACAAGATTTAATTTAAAAAAACAATAGTTCTTACATTTTATACCATTGCAGAAAATGCCCACCAGGAATTAGACTCGGTGATGGGTGTTTTTATCTGTTTTGTTTTTTTAGTGTTCAAACCAAATACCAATTACATCCAATGAAACTCAACTCTTAAAACAGAATGCAGCATCCAATTGCAATAGAAGAAAGAATGCAAAAAAAAAAATTGTCGAAGTTGCAACGGTGTAAAAACTTTATCCAAAAATGATGAAACAGGAAACTGATTGTAACTGTCAGTTCCTTCTTGACTCTGATTTTTTTTTCCAAAATGATAGAAGATCCTTAAGAACCAAAAATTGAGTCCAACATTGAGCAGAAGTAAACTTGATTGTTTTGTTTACCAGTTGCATGAATGATAGAAGTGAAAAATAACAACAAAAAAACAGCCAAAAGCTCCCTTGATTAGACAGTAAAAATCCTAAACAGCAGTAATGTAAGGATTTCATGAATAGCCAAAAACTCCCTTGATTAGACAGTAAAAATCTTAAACAGCAGTAATGTAAGGATTTCATGAAGGAGTATATTAACAACTTTCATAACCTTAAGAAACTATATGCTGCATTGGCATTAAACGGTACATTGCATTAACAACCACAGCCAACAAGGAAGGAAAAAGAAAGGAGTTTCCAGCACGCGACCATAGAGCACAACGAAAGCCTTCAAAAAGCTTACAGGACAATGTGTCACAAGGTGCTCCTTGAGCATATAGACACACTCTACTAAATCTGATGCTTAGATACAATAAGTTCAAAAGCATCCTCACAATGCATGTAAACTGCAAACAATCTAAAGGAAGACAAAAGAAAGAAGTTGTGAAAAACCAATAACCTGAAACCACGATCACGGTCACGGTCACGGTGTGTCTCTCTCCTATAAGGACCATCACGATAGGAATTACGCTGAGATCGAAATCTGCGATCTCGGGGACTCCTACTCCTGCTACGGCTCCGACCCATACCCTGACTTCTGCTACTGCTCCTGCTACGTGAACTCATTTCTCAATCTTTTACTAAAAACGTCAACCACCACAGTTTCACAAGCCCAACACCAAAATTCCACAGCTACTGCAGCTTCCCTGTGAACATTGATCACACCCAAAATTATCTGCATTCATTCACCTCATGCTCCTATTTTAACCTTCAAACAGAAACACCAATTTCCCAACACTACAACAAAATCCTCGTCCAACAACCACCACCCAAACTAAATATTCAATACATCCAAAGCATACCATGTAAACTTAAAGAAACATTTCCTCAACCGAAACATACTCTGGACGAAGATTTATGTACCACTTCTGGGAAAGAATTGTTCGGTCAGTTCACACATTCAATTTGTGAACGCTATGAGCATTGCATTAACTTGACACACAAAACACCAACCATGCAACAAATCACCCAAATGAGTAATTTACCTCCTATTTCGTAAATATTCAAACCAGGATTATTTTTTTTCACAAACCCTTTCTGCAGCAATTAATCTAGTATGACGAAAAAAAATGAATAAATAGAAGAGAACGAGAGAAACAATCTAAGAACATAAAATAGATTATCTGTAGCTAAATCAAATATTTTCTCATGATGAAGCAACAGGCAGAAACCGACTTCGAGATTTGAATCTGAGCAATTAATGCATTTTGACGAAAAAATAAACATAAATTAGCAAGGAATTCAAGAAATCCAACCCTGGTTCTTTGAATCCATAACTTGATTATTAAAAACAAAGATAAAACCCTAAAATCCGTTAAAAAATAGCTAATTAAAAAAATGCAATCGAACCGGATCGGATTTTGTATATCAAATTGGGAAAAAATTTGAGAAAAGTATATACCAACCTTGTGGAGGTTGAAGCAGAGGGGATGGATGTTTGGCACTCACAAAATATCGTTTGCTAATGTAATGAAACGAATTTTGTAAATAGTTGCTAGAGGAGGGGAAAGAATCTTGTAGGGCCGGTTACGGCGTGTTTCAAACTTTAACCATGAATGGAAATGGACACGTCATCTTCAGGCAGTGTATGCGTTCAACTGATATGTCACGAGACTGTGGGTTTTTTTTTTTTTCCCCTCTCATCGATATAGAAAACATTGTTTGATTAGTTATATAGCTTTTGTTTTTTATACTCCAAGAAAACTTGTATATAATTATATTTTAAATTTTTATTTTATAGAAATTAAAATAATATATATTTTAATTTATATAAAATATTTAAAAATATATAAAAATGTATCTTATAATAATTTTAATTATAAGTATTTTTTAAAATTATAATTAAAAATATTTTTAAAAAAACTTGTTTTGTTTTAAATTACAATTATGAAAACTATCATGGTCAAACTCATTCTATAGCTAATCTTTTATCAAATTTTAATGGTGACTTTTTTTTTAGAATAACAATTACGTGTAAAAAAATTGCATATACATGCCTATTTTTTCAATTTTCATGTATTTTAATATATTTTTTTATATAATACAAGCTATATAAAAATTCAAGAATCTTTTCTCCATTTTTATAACATTCAGCTGTGGTTTAATTACTATATTATAATAAAAAAAATTAATATAATAAAGATAAATGAGATATACTGTTTTAAAAATATAAAAATTTATTTTGAAGTTATCATTAAAAATATATTTATTTTTATGTTTATATTTTTATCTTTTCAACCCTCATGTGTGTGTGTGTATATATATATATATCAAATAAAAAACGTACCTCAATATTTTGATGAAAAAATCAAGTTGTATCGTCACCATCATTCTATAAATTTATAATTCTCTAAAGAATTTTTCTCTTATAGCACAATATATATTGGAAGAATTTATAAAACCTCTTATGTCATTAATGTTCCATACCATACAAACTCTTTTAGACATTTAACATTGGACATTCATTCAACAAGTTTTTAACATGCAGATTACATCATAAATATATCAAAATCATTATATATCAATATTGAACAATAATCACCTTCAACATTTTCAACTTTCTTAGTAGTCATTAAAAATATCCTAAATGAGCTGAATATTTTGATTTCAGAAAAACATGTTATTCTTGATAAAACTCTTTTCAAAAAAGATTGTTATGATGCCTATAATTTTGTAAAACATATTTAATTTTTCCAACATTTTCTTCACCAAAGATGTGAAATATAGGAAAAATTTTATAATTACATCTAATTATATAAAAGTACAAATTTTATTATTTAATTGATTCAAATTATATTATGCATCTTAAAATCACACTGTATATCCATTTTCATCCATCAAGCATGCATGCCCAATTACAACAAGATTCAAAATTCTTATATGAAATCTCACCAATAGACTAATAATTGAGTCCAAATATCAACCTTTGAGAAATATCTAAATAACCCACAGTAACCAAAATATAGATATAACTCATTATCAAATCACAAAAACAAGTCAAACACAAATTCAAGAAAACCATATAAATTTTTTTAAAGCTATCAAAATACACTTACTTACAACACCTTGATAGTTCATCTTTAACTGTCTCAAACACGCTACAAACAACTAACAAGTTACAAAAAATCAATCCTTTTACATCCACAAATTAAGTAAATACCCTACAAAATAGTCCTAGACAATATTCTAATGAAGATGGTCCTTCAAATCAACCTCTTAAACAAAATAGACTTCCCAAATAAGCTTCCAAAATAATCATTGCTCTAGGTATTTCCACATCTATTAAACCAACTATCCTTAGCCAACACAAATACAATGCCTTTTCTCTCTATGAATAGAATATGGATAGAATGTCTAAATACAACATCATAAACATCATTCAACGAATAACTATAACAGTCAATGCTTACAAAACCCAAATAAGAACATCAAACAAAGCCATTGTTGAACTCCTTGTTGTTGGTTTTTCTAGCCAGTTAAAAGGATGATAGGATTACTATCTCATTAAAACCGACCACTTATAAATTTTAAACTCTTTCCAAACATATGACGACCAAATATCCATCCTTGGCTCATCTAGAAATACCATCCAAAATGTTGTATCAACCCTTATCCTCACTATCTCCTTATACTTTGTCAAAGATCCTTCCCATTTGAATGATACAACTACCGAACTTTTTTTCAACCTTAGATGTAAAAAGCTTAATGACTTTTAATGGTACAAAAACACATTCCTTACCTATGTTATACTTACAGAAGACTCAAATTAGCCTTTTTAAAAAGAAAAATTCGTTGCAGGCTTACCTATTCTTTTAAGAGAAAAGGTCCAAGATAAAATCAAAGATACCTGTACAATCAAAACTATACCATATGACCAGCTTACATACGGTGAACTTGTGAGCTTCATCCAAAAAGAAGGTCTCAAGATCTGCCAAGATCTTAAACTCTAAAAATAATTGAAATGGAAAATGAAACATATCAGACAAAAACTTGGTAGTTTCTGTCATCAGTTTAACCTATCTACTAAAAAACCCTTATGTAGTGGAAATTGTTCTCAAAACCATTCTAGTTATATATCCTCTATAAATGATCAGTCCATAAATACCAAAAGCAGTTTTACTCCAAACTAGAACAAACCTATTACAAAAAACCCAACAAGAAATTTACCAAAACTCATAAGTCTTTCCAGTCCAAACCCAAACTACTATTTGACCTAAAAACATCATCTGTTACAAATGCAATAAAAAAGGATATATGTCTCATTTTTGCAAAGTTAATACTAAACTCCATGAGCTCCAAATAGGTGAAGTTATTATCAATCAAATACAAAACCTATACATTAAAGCCACAAACACAGACATTTCTCATTTAAACATTTCTAATAAAGAATTTCAAATTGATAAAATAACAACTATCAGTACTACTTTATATGCCTCTATAAATTCCAAACGAACTAACGTTTTAACCTAAGATTAAGAATTTATTCTTGAAGCCATCAAAAGACTTAATGATTCTCAACTCTAAAAAACCTATCTAGATAAATTGTTGAAAGATTTCAACCAACCAAAACACTCTCCTTTTAACCCTCCAAACTGCTATATATTACCCTTCACCAGTACCAATATCTATGACCTTACAAAGTAGATCAAACTAAAACTCTAGTACACGTCTGTCCATTAGAATGATTGTAAAAAAAACTATTCCACTATCAAAAAGAAAATTCTTTCAATTGTTCTTTGCATTGTAAAATTTCAAAGTGATCCATTAAATCAAAATTTTCTTTTACGTGTTGATTGCAAATATGCAAAAGATGTTTTACAAAAAGATCTCCAAAATCTTGCTTCAAAATAGATTTTTGCTCGATGGCAATACACACACACCCCTTGAGGTTAAATTTTTAGATTAATCAGAACCCAGTAAAACCTTACAGAAATGTCAATAAACTCAAATTGGATTGGAAGGTGGATTGGAAGGGGTGTATATATAATTATAAGGGTAAATTGGTTATTAGGGCAAAAAAATCCTTCTTTTAAAGGTTGTTATATCAACAAACCTAAAAGCCACAAAAATAGGTTGTAAAGCCTTCATTTTCACCCAAAATTTTAAGGAAATCAACAATGATTGAGAGCTTTAAGTGAGAGTGAGTTGGTATTTGAGAGAAAACACATTAAAGGCAAACACTTTAACAACTATATCTCTATTCTATATTGTTGGATTGGGCTGCCTTTAGGGATGCTGCTCTTTATTGTGTGTGTTATATTTTAGCTAGAGAGATTTGTAATACCAGGCTCTCTGTAAGAGATATGGCACATGAAGTATTTATTGATAAAATATATTTTTGTATAATTTTGGTTGCCAAACATCTTTTTCTCCGTCAATCGTTGGATGAAGAAATAATTTTAATAAGTTGTTCGTTCAGATATTCTCTGAAGTTTGAATAGTGGAGATTGAAAATAAACACTCTAGCTATAGATTCTAATTTTTAAAGTTAATTTAGTTTTATTCTAATATTTTCCAAACAAGGAAGGATTAATTATGTACAGATTAAACAAGTTGGATTTACGTATTTGAATAGAACATCTTGAAATGAAAAGTATACTTGACATTGTAAAAAATAATTGATAAATGTTAAAGTGGTGGCTTGAAAAATAAATAAGTTGTGTGTATTCTGATAAGTATATGATAAAAAAAAATGCATTGAAAATTTTTAATATATTATAAAAAAAATAAAAAACAAGGTTGCTACAACTTATCTAAACTTAAAGTGTTGATTAAACATCTCATAAGTTAAGTTTTCTATATATAAAAAAGGAGCTAACATGATGTAATTCAATTAAAAATTTGAGATGGTCTTTTATCCTGTTAAAATTCATTTTTTTTTAAATATCATATTAATTTTTTAAAAATTAAATTAATCGGGCTGACATGTAACGGAGTTTTGTCTGAAGTCGATTCTGGGATTAGGTTATCCATGCTTCACCTCGCTCTTCAATCAAACGACATCATATATCAATATTTTTCACAAAGTATTCTGCCCAACGTTTTCGGAGAAACTACGTCGTTTCCCAATACAAATATCGGAGTCCAATTGAAAGTTGATACACCCGACTACAGAGGATAAACCCCAGCATCATCTAGGGTTTAATGCACTCACTCGATACTTTAGGGCTTTGCACAAATCAGTTTAGCCTCGGCTCTTCAATCAAAATCTTCTAAAAAAAATGGGGAAGAAGAAATTCATCGACAAGAAAAAAGCCGCAACTTTCCAATTATTCGCACGCGATTCCTCCGATCCCAATTTCGACGGCACTGACCGAGTTTTCGTGCGAGTCGATAACAATCCCTACACAGTAGAAAGCCTCTTGCCCGGCAACAAAATCTCCAGCAACAGCCACTTCGATGACGATCCTAATTCAATTTTCGCCGACGCGCCGGATGAAATGGAGGATGGCGGCAATGGTAGCTTTGGTAATTCCGCGAACTTTGGAGGGGGGTTTTTTGGTGAGTCATCCTCGGAGCCTTTCCCAGAGGATGTTAGGAGAGAGATTTTG